TAATTACAATTGGAGGATGGGCACTATTTAAATTAGGGTATCATATTTAGCTAGGTTACTCCATACTTAAATTATTAGGAATAGCAGTTCAAGCCAGGCAGTGGTGGTGTACTCCTTTAATACCAGCACTCAAGAGGCAGGGGCAGGTGGATCTTTGAGTTTGAGGGCAGTCTCGTCTACAGAGGGAGTTCCAGAACAACACAGAGAAACCTCGTCTGGAAAAACCAAAAACCAAACAATCAAAAACAAAAAAACAGACAGGAATAGGGGTGAGAAAGGAAGTATTCAAGAGCATTCTCAGCTATACAGCTAGCACCAGACAAACCTGAGCTACATGAACCCATGCCTTCATTCTTTAGTTTTATAGCAGTGCTAACACACACACTTTAGTTTTATAGCAGTGCTAACACACACACTTTTTTGGGGGGGAGGGATAGGGTGTCCCTGACTATCCTGGAACACACTCTGAAGACCAGCCTTGTCTCCAACTCAGAGATCTGCCTACCTCTGCCTCCCAAGTACTGGGATTAAAGGCGTGTACCAACACCACCACTTGAACATATATTTAAAAACATTTTCTATTTCAGTCAGGCACGGCAGTACAGGCCTTTAATCCTAGCGGAGGCGGATGATCTCTGTGAGTTTGAGGATGGCTCAGGCTATGCAGAGACCTTGTCTCAAAAGAGAAAACAAAACAAAAACAATTTTCTATTCCAAAACTTAGGAAATCAAATACTATCATGTTTGATTAGAGACTGTGATTATAAATTTATCCCTGACAAAATACTAAAAAGCTAGTTTTTGGCATCTGATAATGAAGTCAAATCTAACTTACATTATTTAAAGATATTTAAAATTTGTTTTTACTTGACCACTGAGCCATCAATCCTGTCCTATACTTATATGATTAAATAGTTAATCCAGAAGCTGAGACAATCCTTGCAGCTATTTCTTGGAAAAAGACAAAGATATCAGGAAATTCTATGTCTGAAAATAGTTTAGAAAACTAAGACTACCTATCTGATTCAATAAAAACACAAATCTAGTAACTCTTGAATGTATTAGAATAAAAATATTTTTTTTTTAAAAAAGGCAGTTTCTTGTAGCCAGTCTGGCCTCAATCTCTGGTAACTGCAGATGACCTTGAATTTCCAGCCCTCCTGAAGACAACCTCCCGAGCGCTGAAATATAGGGCAGCAGATACTACACCTGTTTCACACGGTGTTAGGGACCGAACCAGGGCTTTGTGCATGCTAGGCAAACATTTAAGCTACATTCCCAGATTTTCTAACTTTTAGAGAAAATAATCTTTGGTTTTTTTCAAGACAGGGTTTCTCTGTGTAGCCTTGGCTGTCCTGGAACTCACTGTAGACTCACAGATATGGCCTGCCCCTGCTGCCTGACTTATATGTAACTTTGATAATGTGTATGTATATGTCTGCATGTAGGTATGTGCACTAGTTAAGTTGCCCATTGACCTGGAGTTGCAGGTGGTTATGAGCCATCACTGTGGTGCTGGAAACCAAACTTGGGTTCTCTAAAAGTGCTCTAAACCAGAGCCATCTGTCTAGCCGCTCACTGTGATTTTTTTGAGGGACCAGGCTAGTGCAGTTTAAAAGAAAGGAGTTGGGGACTTGGAAAAACAAAATATATTACACTTTAACTAAGTTGTCCAAAGGCACTTCAGCTTCTATATACTGTAGAGAAATGGCAAAATTTCTTAGAAACTCCAAAATCTGAGGAAACAAATAAAAAAACAAGGGGTACACAAATGACCTGTTGACTTTTCTATTTAGATAGCATATGCTCATTTCTTGAGTACCTGCTATGTGTCAGTCAAGTGGTCAGATGCTCAGGCCAATGAACAAGAAAACATGCTCTCTGGTATTAGGAAGCTTACAGAGCTAGACATGGGGGCATATGCCTTTCATCCCATCACTTGGGTGGCAGAACAGGGGGATCGCTGTGGGTTGGTAGAAAAAAGATGCATCAGGGTTAGGAAGGTAGCTTGTTGGTAGAGTGCTTGCCCAACACATATAGTCTTACATTTGATCTTCAGAGCCACACAAAACTGAGTTTTGTGGGGAACGTTTATAATTCCAGCATTCAGGAGGTGGAGGCAAGAGGATCACAAGTTTAAGACCAGCCTCAACTCCATAAGAATATTTGAGGTCAGTCTGGGCAAGATAAGACTCCCAGAAAAAAAAGGGGGTGGAGTGCATCAAGACAAGTAATCAGATATTCATAAACATAAAAACAAAACTATAAGTGTATGTACTATATGTTGCTGTGCAGAGAGGTTCCTAGTTCAGAAATACTTGACCAAGTCAGAAGATTTTCTGAGGATAAAAGCTGCAATCTAATGGACATTCTAACTGTGGATGATGGATGGGGTTTATCCTACACACAACATTTGGCACCAGTGTGGAAAACACATGCACTTTTTGTGGTGCTGGGGAGCATATGTGGGACACTATACATGTGAGACCTATACTCTACAATTGAGCAATCCAGGCCTATAGAGCCTCAATATGCTGCCCAAATGGTATTCTGCTGAGCAATATCTTTAGGCCTTGGAATGACGTGTCAGACTGAGAGCTGCTAAGAGCATATAATGTGTAGAGGACAAGGGCATTGTTAGATGTTTTTTTTTGTTTTTTGTTTTTTTTTCTTTCGAGACAAGGTTTCTCTGTAGCTTTGGAGCCTGTCCTGGAACTAGCTCTTGTAGACCAGGCTGGCCTTGAACTCATAGAGGCATGTGCCACCACCGCCCAGCAACATTGTTAGATGTCTTAACAATGCATGGGGCAGTCCCTCATAGCAAAGAATTATTTGGCCTGAAACATCACGAGTGCAAGGTTAAGGCTTCACCCTAAGGCAGATGACTGGTGGGAATTGCAAGCTTCTGTGACACAGAGCAGGAGACAAGACACTCAGCTCTTTTTTAGGAGCTTTGGTTTTAAGAACAAAAGGAAAACAAGTGAGGGTGTTAAGCAAAAAAGAGTAGAGGATTGAGGATACTGTTGGTAACATCCCGGACTAAGAATTTTAGAAAGTTACTAATAGTGGTACATTGTAACAGATGGGGAAGGACAGGAACAGCTTCAGTAGATGTGACGGGAGCTCTGTAATACAAGCTTCTAGAAACTCCAATGGCGGGAGAAACATGACAATGGTAATAAAGCTGAAACCATGACCGAGGAAAGGAGAAATCAAGAAAGTGGGTGCCACATGCACTATCATTCTACAATGTGTAGGCACATATGACAGCTTACAATGTTATCATTCTACAACGTGTAGGCACGTATGACAGCTTACAATGTTATCATTCTACAACGTGTAGGCACGTATGACAGCTTACAATGTTAACATTCTACAACGTGTAGGCACGTATGACAGCTTACAATGTGTCTGCTCTTTCAGAACTGTCTCAAGGAAGGTGGAGTCATCTCCAAGCATAGGTGAATATTTTCCTCATATTTCAAAAATAGGAGACAAGAACATCTAGCTCTCCCCCTCAACCACATAGAAGACATACCTCAGGATGGCCTCAAACTCTGGACCCTAACTGAGCCTCCCCTAGGGCTGGGATGACAGGCCTGAATCAACAGGCCCACCTCCCCTTGTTTTGCTTTGAAAGTGATATAAGGTGACATATGAAGGATTTTGTTTATATAGATTCAGGCAGTAAAAAAAAAAACCAGAGAGGGTTCATATATAAATTATACCTATTATATATTATATATACATATTAATAATCAGAAACTTAAGAATTAATAAACCAATATTTGGTTCTACTTAATATAGTCAAGAATATATTTTTCCTTATTTTATTAGAGATGAGATAGAAAATACTGTAAAAACAATTTTTACTATAAAATATAACACATAACAGTAATTATGCTAGCCAGGCAGATCTCTGGGATATTAAGGTCAGCCTGGCCTACAGAGTGAGTTCCAGGACAGCCAAGGCTACACAGAGAAACTGTCTTGAAAAATCAATAGAGTATGCTATATAGTACACAGTTTAAAGAATAATAAACCACACACAAACTCATCACCAAATAGCAATTCATTTTAAATGGTAGAAAATTTCACAAATATCTGGTTGTGTCAGTGACTTTTAAGATGAAGATTTACATTAAGAATAAGCGAAATGCACTTCATCTTAGCATGCTTCCATCACAGCGCCACTCCATCTCTAAATGAAAGGAAACTATCTCTTGCAGAAAATGATTAAAAAAAAAACAAAAACAAATGAAGGATGAAGTAAGCAACTAAGAACCCAACAAGCCTTGGTTTTATTTCTAACACCTGACTTTTCAAATTCCAAAATTTGCATTTCTTTACTGTTTTGAAGACCCATAGCTGACAACTTTGTGATATTACCATTCAAACTGTATGTTAAAATATTATATTAACAACTTGTTGGCCTGTAGCCAATGATTTTGTGACATTATCATTTGAATTGTAGGTTAAGACTGAAATCAATCAATCAATCAATCAATCAACAAACAAAAGCACTGGATTTTAGCACTTTAATTGGCCTAATTTTTCACTAGTAAAATAACAGCTTCCTACTTCATAAATTTTGAGAATATTTTAACATGCCACTGCACGCCCTTTAGTGAAACACTAAAACTTTATGATTTATATTCAACTTAACATGCAACTGTGTAGTTGGCCTAAAGCCCCATTAAACTGTAATGACACATGCATGCCTTTTCTACAAAGAAAGGCCACAGACTTTAACCCCAAAGCTCTTTGAAATCAAGATTTATGTGAACTGATACATATTTAGTTTTCAAAGAAGTGGAAAAAGTGAGCTTCATTCTTCCTTCAGTTGGGCAAGAATGTCTTTTCAATAACTAACAATAGGGCAAACACTTTTTGTTTCTCGAAAACAGTCGTTTCAAAATTTTTTATCCTACTTTCCTCTTCCACACACAATATTAATATTAAACCACAATATTAATATTAGTCTTTAAGGAATTACTCACCCAATGAAAGCCACCATCTGCTCCACAATGTGCTTGCTGAAAGTTATTATAACAAAGATTTTCTGTAAAGAAAACAGCAGTTAAATAGTCATTTAAAAGAACTACCTGTAAATTCTAAAGTGTAATTGTCTAAAAAAGACAAAGAAGTGATTACTGCCCCTAACAGTAATTTCATTACTTCTTTTAAAATAAGAGACCATTTAATTCAAGTGGTCCTTGGTATTTTAAAGATGCTCTTCCTTAAGCACAGCTGCAGTCTTTTACTGGGATACAGGAGTGTGTCTCAGAGGAATTGTGCGTCATGAAACCCGAGCCTGGGAGGAAATAGTGGAGACGAAGCTGCTCTGAGCATCTTAGAATCCAGTACCGAGCAGAAGCCACCAGCTGCCATACAGCTCCCACCAAGGACTAACAGTAGGAGCCTGGCCTAAGTCTACTTTAGATTTTAGAAAGACTGTCTATTGTCTTAGGAAGGTTTTACAGCAACCAGATCAAAGTGCCCAAAACCTGAAACAAGCCTGGCCTTCCAGGTTTAGGGCTAAAAGTTCCTCGTGACTTTCCAAGATTCTAGTCTGGTAGGTATGAAGTACTCTATTAAAGATATCGATACCTGACATTAAAGCAACAATACCAAAATACCTTTATGGCTAGAAGGTAGCAAATATTCTCAGCTTGATTCAACACATGTGAGCATAAAGTACTTAGTATGGGTAACATTAAGAAATATTAAGGGTTTTTAGGAAACACAAATCTGAGAACACTTCTTCAAAATCTTGAAGAACTTTCCTCATTTTTCTACAAATGGTAGAAAGGTGGTAATTACAGAAACACAAACTTTCTCTCTCTTTCACTCTCTGTCTTTCTCTCAAATGCCACTAGTAGTTAAAAGAAAAGAAAAAGGGAAAAGAAGCCAACAATGTAACATGGAATGACAGGCAAGGCAAAGGTCACATTTAAGTGTATGACTGATTAGGATTCAACAGCCTCTGTTTAACTTTAGCTTTTAAGGTCACACAATAATTCTCTAACTAAATATGCATAAAGTTGGGTTCCTGGAGTTTCTCCAAATTCCTGATAACAAACTCTTTAGTGCTCTGTTGCTGTTAAATGATTACTCTAGACAGTGTGACCAAAGGGGAGGGGTGAAAATAAAACACACAACAACAGCTTTCCTTTTTTTTTTAATCTTTCACTATAAAAGTGAAGAAGAGTAACACATCAAGATTATAGAAATGGTGGAAGGGGAAGGGGGCTGGAGAGATGGCTCAGTGGTTAAGAGCACTGGCTGCTCTTCCAGAGGTCCTGAGTTCAATTCCCAGCAACCACATGGTGGCTCACAACCATCTGTAGTAAGACCTGGCGTCCTCCTCTGGCATGCGGGCATATATGGAGGCAGAATGTTGTATACATAATAAATAAATCTTTAAAAAAAAAAAAGAGAGAGAGAAAGCTGTCCTAATAAGACAACTATGGAGTAAGTTAGAGGGAAAGCACTAGCATAGGTGTCTACACCAGGGGCCGGCTGTTTGGAGCCCCAAGGCTTTCACTCATCAACAGAAATAATGGTGTGACTTTCAGTGATTTCAACACCACAAGCTTTCCCTACCATCATTGCCTAACAATGCAAAATCAGCCAGTGCCCGATAATTGCACAACTTCATTGCTTGAGAAACAAAACAAAATTTCCTTTTTATATGCAACAGCTTAAAAATTCACTGTGCTGGTAGGACATAAAACGTGTCAGCCATTTAAGAACACATGTCTCAGTCTACAAGGCTGGAGGTCTGAGTGGGGATTTTAGCTGGTAAACACAAGGCACAGATCATCTTTCCCACTCTTGTGCATACAAGAAACAAAGGAAAGGGCTGTGAGGGATAAAGGAAGTGAGCAGAGGAAACTAGCTGTGCTAGAGCAGACAAAGAAGGAAACATGTGCTAAGTGCCCTTAGTGGTCAAAGGTTAAACTGACCAGTTGTCAGATTGTTAGTGTGTGCCTACTACACTCCAGAGGCTACTCAGTGTTAGAAACCCTCAGCGAAAGTCAGGCCATGGTGGTGCAGGCCTTTAATCCCAGCACTCTGCCAGGCAGAGGCAGGTAGATCTCTGAGTTCCAGGCCAGCTAGTGATACACAGAGAAACCCTGTCTCAGGAAACCAACAAAACATCTCAGGGATACAAGGAAGAAACCTTTCTGGGGCTCAGAATCCACAAATGTAGATCCCCTTTCTTGGAGATGCAGACAGGCAAAAAACAAACAAAAAAAACCAAACACAAACAAACAACAGTCATGGTAAGTAAGTCAGATGAACACAGATAATCATGTTAATTTTCTTCATCGTTTGGTAGCAAGATGATGTCTGTAAGGATCCCGCTCTAGGCAGAGAAGCTGCATCTCCCTAATAAACAGGAAGATTCTAACCCAACACAATGGATGTGCTGATGGGAACCCTTTCTAGGAAGACTAACAGAAAGACATTCATAAAAATAATTTATTGAAAGGCTATCTAATGTTCAGCTGAGAAAAAAAGGGGATGAAAGAAAAGCAAATGAGAAGATATGTTTTAGTACAGCACAAAAAAGTTTGTGTGTGGGTGTTTCCCTGGACTTTGGAACTGGTCAGAATGTTTATACTACTCATTAATACTGCCTACTCAAGCAAAGAGAAAGACTTGTTCTCCTAAGCTACATCTGGATGCACATCAAGTGACATGCCTTTATAAGCATGTTACTATGTACAATGGAACACAGTAAACATACCCACAGTCAGTAGTAAAGGAACCAGATTCTTGCCTTTCAGAAACATAAATGGATTTTCTTTCTTTTGTCTCTACATAGCAGACAGAGAACAAACTTCAACTTCCAGAGCTTGTTTTGATTACCAGGTCTTAAGGCAAGCCTTTTTGCTCTAAACGTAAGCTTGTTCTCTATGAGACCTGCAAAACTACCTCATACCTGCAATCGGTCTGATAAACAGCAGGCAGTAAAGCCATTCACTTTCCTTTATCATATCAATAACTTTGTTAGGACAAGGCAAAAGAAAGAACACTGGACAGGTCACACAGCTTGACCTGGGTTCAAGTTCTAGCTGTCGGCACTCTCATAGACATGTATTACTTATTACTTATTAGTCACTCTAAGTATGACCATTGTACTCAGAGCATTTCCTTCCACTGAGTATGAGGAATTTAATTTCCATTAAAGTATGAGGTACAACATTAAAAAATATGAACTGGTATATCTTAGAAGAAAATCTTCTTAGGATGTTTAAAAACAATTTTGACCCTTTTTCTGAAACAAAAGGTTTGATTAAGCTATGTATCTACAGCTATAGACAAGTGCTCAGCATTGAAACTTTACAATAATTTTCTTTATGGGTGTGGCCCCTGGTAAGTCTACCATGCTCAAAGGAAAGGCCATATATTGATGAGTACATGGGCAGCACAAATTGACATGATGAATTAAAAATTAAAAAAAATAATTTAAAGTTTGGTGAGTATTGAAGGTGGTGGGGAGGGGTGAATGGGATAAAATATATTGCACAAAATTTTCAAAGAACTAATAAAAAAGAAACATGCAATAAAAAAATTTATGATAATCTAAAGAAAGTTACTTTACTATAGCAGAGTTAAATAAGACAGATAAAAATTTACAAATTATGGGGCTGGAGAGATGACTCAGTAATTAAGAGTTCTTGTTGGTCATGAAGAGGCCTAGAATTTGGTTTCACAGGACAGCCTCTTTCAGTCTCCTTGTGCACCAGGCATATGTATAGTACACACACATTACACGCAAGTAAAGCATTCAAACACAAAACAAAAGAGACTACAATTCAAACTGTTAAAGTAAGAATTGAAATGACTGGCACTTCCGTACTTACAACTCAAAAAGCTATGCTATCATTCTTTATCCCCCACACAAAAAAGGAGAGAAAAACCATCTTGAGAAATATTACAAAATACTACTAGTCAATAAAATATTTTATTCTTACATTTTTAATATAGTGATTATATTTTAAGCACGTTAAGTAGCACCGCAGTATTAAAAAAAAAACAAAACTTGTGTTCACTGAACTAAACATTTTTTTGGGGGGAGGTTTACAACCCCTGTAGCCTGAATCCTGGAACTCACTCTAGACCAAAATGGTCTCATACTCAGAGGATCCAACTGCCTCTGCCTCCTGAGTGCTGGGATAAAAAGTGCGTGCCACCACACATGACACTGACCTAAACACTTAATACAAGTGGGAAGAAATAAATGCCTGGAAGTAGGAAAAAGATATCCCTGATAGTTGAGTGATCATTTTGACAGCAGAAGACAGATGCAATGAAGCTCAAAGGCATGTTACTGTCATCGGTACCCTACCCCTTTTTGAGACAGGGTCTATCTATCTCTGGCTGGCTTGGAACTAGCTATGTAGACCAGGCTGGTGCTGAGCGGACAGGGAGTGCAGAGATTAAAGGCATGAACCAATATGCCTGGCACTCCTCCCTCCTTTTAAAAATTTTATTTATTTGTCTATGGGTGTTTTGCCTGCATGTATGTATGTGAACTATGTGCATTCAGTGTCTACTGAGGCCAGAAAATGTCAGATCTCCTGAGATTAGAGCTATACATGGTTATTAGTAGCCATGTAGGTGCTGTAAAATGAACCAGGGTCCCCTGGAAGACCAGTCAGTGCTCTTAACTGTTGAATCATTTCCCTAGCCCCTCATCCTCCCCTTTAAGAACCAGAGCCAGGGAAGTGTTAGGAAGAATCAATGAGGATAAATTTTTATTTTCAGAGACATCATTCCACTGTTCCTAACTTTCTTTTAGTAAATTCTTATTTGTTGTAAACCACACTGATTAAAAACACATTCTTTCCAGGTTAATTTTTATCAGTGAGAATTACCCTTAGATGAGAGAATTCACAGTCCAAGACACAATCATTTTTCTCTCAATTAGGTTCTTAGCCTTTTTTAATTTGTGTATCTTAAAGATAAAGGTAAGAGTGGCTTTGGGGGCTAGCAGAGTCTCACTTCCCTAACCACACAGCCAGCATTTCCTCATCTCCTCAGTTACCTCTCCCTCCCTCACACTAACCTCTGTCTGGTTTTGGGTAAAGGGTATTGGTGCCGAGAGGAAGTGCCATGTAGAGTATGTGACAGAAAATAAGAATCAATGAAAGGTGGCATGGCACCCTTTCATGTGGTGGTCAGGAAGGAAACTACGGTTTTTTGACTGTGTATAGGAAAATGATGCATTTTCTCACATGAGAATAATACTTTTATTTGATAGGTTTTAGATAGTTTCATGGAACAAAAAATAAAGCAAAAAGAAAAAAGGAGAAAGAGGAGGAGGAAGAAGAAAAAACAAACAAGGAAATTCACATATTTCTATAATTACGAGCTCTATTATCTAAGTAAGCAACTAACTGAGAGAAGCAGGAACTAAAAGTGCCTTGGTTCCATCAAGATCATTAAGCAGTGACTCAGCTCTAATTACCTGGATATGCATTTTAATGATTGCTTTTCCAATCAAGGTTGCACCAAAGAAGGTCCAGAACGGTACAAGGAAGTGTCCGCATGTTATTCCAGCCAGGTCAAACAGGGGATTTGGAATCTGGGGTGGGGAAGAGGGGAACAAAACAAAATTTTCATACATAATTCAAAGAAAACTTTAATTTGGTATGTGGTACTCTGCTTTAATCAGTACTTACTTACCATGTGACACAGAGAAGGTTCCCTGGTCAATGCAAGACAACATTTAGAAGACCATATGAGTACTCTGCATGTCTAACTACAGGTCAGAAGAGGGTTTCAGGTCCTAGTAAGATGGTTGTGAGCCACAATGTGGGTGCTGGGAATTGGACTCAGGACCTCTGGGAGAGCAGTCAGTGTTCTTAACTGCTGAGCCCCCTCTCCAGCACAACTGGGTAGGAATTCTAACATGAGTCCCTAAACTGGGACTCACATCCATAGTAGACTGTCATTCTTGATGGGGAATACTATTTTAAGGTGTGTGACTTGTTTATGCTGCATTTGATTAACTCTGTGAAGCTGTGTCATTTTGCCTGTCTAAAACACTTGATGGTCTAATAAAGAGCTGAATGGCCAATAATGAGGCAGGAACATGGATAGGCGGGGCTGGCAGGCAGAGAGGATAAAAAGGAGGAGGTGATGACAAGGATGATGATGAGGAGCAGCAGAGAGAGAACATGGAAAGGAGGACGCTAGGGGCCAGCCACTCAGCCAGCCATGGAGCATATACAGTAAGATATACAGAAGTAAGAAAAGGAAAAAGCTGGCAAGAAACAAGCTGAGCTCAGGCCGGGCATTCCTAACTAAGAATAAGCCTGTGTGTGTGATTTATTTGGGAGCTGGGTGGTAGGCCCTGCAAAAGCCAAAAGAGTAAGAGCAAAACCAACCAACAACACATTCTATAAGATCACAGCAAACTAAGCTGCACACTAACACAGCTTTTAACAAACAAGAAATGGATAAACCCATGGATCTGTAGAAATTTAATTCCTTTTAGTAGACTTCTGCTCATTTGGTGGCTCTTTTCTATGGGAAGGAATGAAGACAGTCTTAACATTATTGAAGATAGCCAGGTGGTGGTGGCGCACGCCTTTAATCCCAGCACTCGGGAGGCAGAGGCAGGTGGATCTCTGTGAGTTCGAGGCCAGCCTGGTCTTCAGAGTGAGTTCCAGGACAGGCTCCAAAGCTACAGAGAAACCCTGCCTCAAAAAACCAAAAACCAATGCCAAAAAACAACCAAACAAAAACAAAACAAAACAAAAAACCCCACAATGTAAACAAAGAAACAAACTAAAAAAAAATCCTACAGAATTGTTATAATTTAGGAATTTTATCTAAGTTTAAAAGCAGGGCAGTGGTGGTGTGTGCTTTTAATCCCACCACTTGGGAGGCAGAGGTAGGTAAATGTCTGTGAGTTCAAGGCCAGCCTGGTCTACAGGGCAAGTTCCAGGACAAGTTCCAAAGCTACACAGAGAAACCGTGTCTTGAAAAATCAAAACAAATTAATAAATTGTCCCTTTAATCTTAATTAAAAACATTTTAGAAAAAATTTCTAGGCAGTAAAACTTATGTTAACTCTTATCTGTACATAATCAAGAGAATGTCTAGAATGGAGGAGTGAATTTCCAACACACAGTTAAAATGAGTACTAATAAAGTTCATTTTCCCTAGGAATACTGAGACAACTTTTACCAAGTGTTCTGGACAGTTAGGTTGTTCTAAGCAGTTTGCCTTACCAACACACCTAACTCCATATGAATCTATTACACTTATTTTGCAGAGAAAAATGTTTAGGCAGAATAAGGCATTTCCCCTACAAAAAAGATCCGAACCCAGGCACTATAGCTCTCAGCTTGTTCTCTTGGCCTCCAATCAAGAACATTTTATCCAATAGGCTCCTCCATACCATAGTATTTTTCACTTAACATAATATCTTCCTTCTTTTCTTCTATCTCTTTCTGCCCCCACCCCCCAAAGAGACTTGGTTTCTGTGAGGCTCTGGTTGTCCTGGAACACACTCTGTAGATCAAGCTAGCCTTGCTCTCAGAGATCCACCTGTGTCTGCCTTGAGAAGTAGGGCTAAAAGTGTATATACCACCACAGCAGGCTAAACTTTTAAAGATTTATTTTATTAATTTTTCTGAGACAGGGTCTCTCTATGAACCTTTGGAACTCAGTGTATAGACCAGGCTGGCCTAAACTCACAGAGATTTGCCTTCTTCTGCTTCCCAAATTTGGAGTTTAAAAAGCAAGACCACCACACCTGGCTTCTAATACTGTATTTCAACTATCTGTACTCATTCTTCTTACCCTTTGAGATAGCAAACACCTTTCCCTTCTCCTTTCTTTCATCTGTTAAATTTTGGCCTATGCTACATGAACACTCTACCATGTAAGTACATACCAGAAACATTTACTACTTTGGTTCTTGAGGTTATTGTTTTGATTGACAGAGTCTTTTTGTGTAGTCCTGGCTGTTCTGTAACTCACCTTTACTTGGATTCTGGGGGTTGAGCTCAGGCCACAAGTGCCTTTACTTACTTATTCAATCATCTCATCAACTCACAAGCTGCTTTTGGAGATAAAGCCTCACGTATGCTAGGTGTAACCCTCAAGCCTGCTACGTCACCAAGGAAGACCCTGAACTTCTGATCCTCCTGTTTCCACTCCTCAGCTATGGCTGGGCTGTAGCTGTGCTCCACATCTGGTTTGTCACAGATCTCTCAATGTGCCATTTTTATTTGTCGTATCACTGTGATAGAAAGAAGCACACTATGAAAACTTCTAGTGTGTCTAGGATCAATATCAGTAATTTAGGCACATGGACATTATAGTTTAAGTGTGAGTGTGCGAGTGTGTGTGTGTATATCAGGGATCTGTCTGATTCTATTTCCCTCCTTGCCACTGTTGAGATTATAGGTACATGACACTACCTTGACTTTTTATGATTCTGAAAATCCCAACTGAATTCCTCTTTCTTCCAAGACAATGGCAACAATCTAAATAGGAGGTAAGATGTCTTAAGTCAGGTTTATATTTATGTGAATCTTCCTGTTAATACTCAAAACGCTGGAAAAAGACTTATCTAATTCATTTCATTATTAATTCTTTGGAGAAATAATGGATTTTATTTCTTTTGTTCTCGCTGAATCAAGTCTTTCAGATCTGAAGTCATTATTGCATGATGAAATGCTTGCAGTCAATAAACAAGACTGTGAACCTGTCCGATGCAAATAAGCTCAATTAATATACTCAGCAAAGGTGACAGCAACTGGGTATAGTGGGGCACACCTTTAATTATAGCATTAGTAGGTAGAGGCAGGAAGATGATTTCTGTGAGTTCCAGCCAGGAATACATTTTAAGATTCTGTTTCCAAAAGAAAACAAACAAACAAACAACAACAAAAAACAACAAAATTGCACAAACAACATTTTTGTTCACTCAGGAGTGTGTCTTTAAAAACAAACTGAGGGGGCTGGAGAGATGGCTCAGAGGTTAAGAGCATTGTCTGCTCTTCCAAAGGTCCTGAGTTCAATTCCCAGCAACCACATGGTGGCTCACAACCATCTGTAATGAGGTCTGGTGCCCTCTTCTGGCCTTCAGGCACACACAGAATATTGTATGCATAATAAATAAATAAATATTTTAAAAAAAAAAAACTGAGCTGCTGAAGGGACGGCTTGGAGTTCCCAGTTCAGTCTCCAGCACACACATGGAGGCTCACAACAGTCTGTCACTCCAGCTCCAGAGGATCTGACCCGCTTCTGACCTTAGCTGGCACCAGGAATGAATGTGGTACATGGACATACTTACAGAAGCACAAAACACTCATACACACAAAAAACAAATTGATCAAAATATATTCGCATCATTTAGTGAGATTTATATATGATTAATTAATTAATATATATTAATTAAATATAACCTACTTACAGAAGCACAGGCCAAAATTCCAAAAAATCCAACTTTCTGTACTAGGTTTTGAACTGCCAGTTTTGCCCGTGATGCAAAGTCCTGTGAAAACAAAGATTTAAAACATATCATTCAAGTTGGGTGGTGGTGGCGTACACCTTTAATCCCAGCACTCGGGAGGCAGGGCAGGCAGATCTCTGTGAGTTTGAGACCAGCCTGGTCTACAAGAGCTAGTTCCAGGACAGGCTCCAAAGCTACAGAGAAACCCTGTCTCAAAACAACAACAACATCAACAACAACAAAACATACCATTCATGTATTTGTGATTGTGTGTGTACATGTACACACATGTCTCTCTGAGTGCCAAGATTAAAGAAATGTACTTCCACATCTGGCTCATGCTGATTTATTGAAGGAACAGCGGGTTTCATGGGAAAACATACAAACAATTCTTCACAAAGTTTCACACTCTTAAAAGTCCACATTTAAGAATGAATTTCTGTATCTCTGGGGTTCTCTCTAGATGCTGTAAAGATGAACAGGATATTGTAAACCACATATCCCAAATCCTTCTGCTGGAAACCCTGGCTTACCCTATCTTTTTCTTTTCCCTTTATAACTTGACAGACTTAATGTCCAAATCACAGCATGGTAGAAAGCCAGAATTTCTCAAGACAATGAACACACGGAGGCCTAAACTAGTGACTTTGAAATACTTGGTTGTTGTACCACGCTACAGAATCTGGAAGCTATCCCTTTTACCCTATTGTACCCATCAGCTCTTCATCTCTCACTCCCCGTGCCCAGGAGAAAATGTAATCACTACACTTCTGCCTTCCTTTAGACCAACATTTTAGCTTCCACATATAACATATAAGTGCCAGTAGGGGTTATTTATCTTTCTGTCCCTGAACTTTTGTTGTTTGAGACAGGGTTTCTCTGTGTAGCCTTGGCTGTCCTAGAACTCAGAGATCCACCTGCCTTTGCCTCCTAAGTGCTGGGATTAAAGATGTGTGCTACCACTGCCTAGCTTCTGTCCCTGAATTATTTCACTCAACATATAATGTCCTCTGGCTGTTCATATTGCCTCAAAAATCCAAAATTATATTCTTTTCTATGTCTGAGCAATTTTCTGTCACAAACATCAAATGTTCTTTTTATATCAATGAAGACCTAGGTTCATTCAGTTCTATCATGGTATTTACATAATCCCCGATTCATAAAACTATACAAAATTAATTTTTGTACTTGGTGATTTAGACAAGATCAGCAGATTTAAACTAGCTGGGCAGTGGTGGCGAATGCCTTTAATCCTGGCACTCGGGAGGCAGAGGCAGGCAAAGGCAGAAGCTAGCTTGGTCTACACAGAGAAACCCTATTTCGAAAAACAAAATAAGAAAAAAAAAAACCAAAAAAACAAAAAGACTTAAACTGGTAAAGAGACATGCTGACACAGTTTATATAAATAAACAAAGGTTAAACATTATAGATACCATGCTATAGATATCACACTGGCCTATCATATTTAAAACTTTCCTTCTACAAAAGATAGGCTGGCCTGGAACTTCTGATCCTCCTGCATTAACTTCCCAAACAGTGACGATTATAGACATGGATGCCCAGCAGTTTTTTAGTTTGCAGAAATTGTCACTGGTCCTATTTTTGCTTTTTAATTTGAAGCTGACATTACAAGCAAAAATAAACAAAACATATTTTTAATGGGAAGTTTTTTAATAGTAAAAATAATCTATTAAAAGGATATTTTATAAGCTTTATGAATTTAACATATATATAGTCCTTTCAGCTCTTCTAATAGGTCTCAGGTCTTCTGTTCTAAGAATTAAAGTTACAATTATATGCCAAATAATTCATAAACATTAACTGGAGTCAATGTGAAATCTGCACTGTGTTTCATTATAAGAAACAATTAGGTGAATTAACATTCAGTTTCATGGACTCAACTATTCCCCTGCCAATGTATTAGTACTTGACCAAATCTAAAGTACTTTACACTAGTCAGGAAATTCAGGCTGGAGAGACGGCTCAGTGGTTAAGGCTGCTCGTTCAAAGGACCTGGGTTCAATTCCCAGCACCCACGTGGCAGCTCACAGCTGTCTGTAACTCCAGCTCCAGGGGATCCAATACCTTCACACCAGTGCACATAAAATAAGTTAAATAATTATATGAAAAAATAATTAGAAGCCGGACGGTGGTGGCACATGTCTTTAATACCAGCACCCGGGAGGCAGAGGCAGTGAATTTCTGTGAGTTTAAGACCAGCCTGGTCTATAAGAGCTAGTTCCAGGACAGGCTCCAAAGCTACAGAGAAACCCTGTCTCGAAAAACCAAAAACCTAACAAACAAACAAAAAACCAAAGAAGCAAAAATAAATTCGAAAAAAAATTCATGGTTATATTTCATAAACATAGTTATGTTACTGTATTTATTTTAATCTTAAAGCCACACAAATGGAACTTACTGATAATGTATGCATGCATACCACACATACAAGTGTGCTTCCCTGTGCAAGTATGTGCACAATCCATGGGTTTCCTGTTGCAGGCACCTCCCTCTATCATGGTTACTATGGCTACTATTAATACTGGAGACAGTGTCGCTCACTATTCTTCCTGAGATCTACCCATCTCTATCTCCCTAGTGCTGGGATTATAGTTGTGCATTACTATGCCTTTCTCTAACCTGTGTGATAATTCTCTGTACTTAGGTCCTCATACTTCCTCACTGAGCCATCTCCCAAGCCACACCAATTAAAGGTTTAATGGATTTATTTTTAATTTTGAATAGTCTTAATGATCAAACCCATGGCCCTCAAGTGCTCTACAACTGAAATATCCCAGATGTAAAAATCCAATTGGAACATCATTCTTTTACTTCCCCACATGTTCTACAACATAATGTAATTTTGCTTCCTGGTTGTCATATAGGTTAAAAGCCATGTATTTATTTGAGACAGGGTTTCAATGTATTACCCTGGCTGGCCTGGCACTCCCAGAGATCACCCTGCCTCTCTCTTCAGTGCTAGGATTAAAAGCATGTCCAACCAAGCCTAATGTATTTTTTTTGTTTTGATTTTATCAATGTTGTAAGTTATTTATTTTTTTTTCTTTTTCTTTTCTGAGACAGGGTTTCTCGGTGTAGTTCTGGTGCCTGTCCTGGAACTAGCTCTTGTAGATCAGGCAGGCCTCGAACTCACAGAGATCTGCCTGCCTCTGCCACTTCCTCCTGGGTGCTGGGATTAAAGGTGTGTGCCACCACTGCCTGGCTTAATTAAGGCATTTATTTATTTATTTGTTTGTTTGTTTAGTTTTTCGAGACAGGGTTTCTCTGTAGCTTTCTAGCCTGTCCTGGAACTAGCTCTTGTAGACCAGGCTAGCCTCGAACTCACAGAGATCCACCTGCCTCTGCCTCCTAAGTACTGGGATTAAAGGCATGCACCATCAAGTCCGGCAATTAAGGTTTTTTAAAGATGCCATTATGACCAAGTTTTTCAGGGTAAAATTTAGTTTAATAAAATCATATTATATAATATAAATAAATATGAATAAGAACAAAGTCTGGATTTCCAGTTGTTTGGCTTTTTGTTTTGTTTTGATTTTTGGTTTTTCGAGGCAGGGTTTGGAGTCTGTTCTGGAACTAGCTCTTGTAGATCAGGCTGGCTTTGATTCACAGAGATCCGCTTGCCTCTGCCTCCCAGTGCTGGGATTAAAGGTGTGCGCCACCACTGCCCAGCTGGATCTTCAGATTTCTCATTACAGTTTTTCGTCCCTTAATACTTAGGTGTGTGTTTGTGTCTGCCTCTGTCCCCTGAGTGCTGGTTCTAAAGGTGTGGATCACTATGACCAGCTAACTCTGTGGTTTAAATACTATTTAAGCTATTTCAGTACCAAATCCAAGAAGATCAGAAGATCCAAGATCTATTAGTTCAGAGTAATTTTTAGCATATCATCATTTTAGCATATAATCTTTACATAGCTAAAGAGGGTGGGTAGGGCTAGAGAGCTAGTCCAGTAGTTAAGATCACTTGCTTCCCTTCCGAGGGACCCAAGTTCAGTTCCCAGCACCCTGATCAAGTGGCTCACCAACTGACTGTACCTCCAGCTCTAGGGGAGCTAGTAACCACTTCTGGCCTTTCACTTGTACATATTTACATGCAGAAACACACACATACACATAAATAAAAATAATAAATCTTTGAAAAACGACAGGTTAGAGGCTGGAAAGATGGTTCAGCAGTTAAGATCATTTGTCCTTCTTACAGAGGGCCAGGTTCAATTCCCAGCACCCACCATCTGTAACTCCTATTCCAGAGGATCCAGTGCTGCCTGCTAGTGTCCATGGCACCAGAAACACATGCGGGGCATTGACATACATTTAGGCAGAACACACATCTTTTTTTTTCCTTTTTTTAAAAAATTCAATTAAAAGAAAAGAAAGCAGGTTACTCAAATTTCCTTAAGATTCTAAGACAATATACAGTATTTTCCTCCAAGATTGTTATATTCACTTAAATGCTGCTTTTGAAGAGGTCTTTTCCAGCTAGGTATACCTGGAACTAGCTCTGTAGACCAGGCTGGTCTTGACCTCACAGAGATCCGCCTGCCTCTGCCTCCCAGTGCTGGGATTAAAGGTGTGCGCCAGCATTAAAGGCCGGCTCTTAATCATATTGAAGAGCAGAGGCGGAAACAGGTGGATTACTGTGGATTCTATGCCAAGCTGGCCTGCAGAGCAACCTCCAAACAAACCAAAACAGTTAATAAAGAGGTCTTTCCGTGTGACAAAAAGTTTGCTGTTAATGTTTAAAGATAAATATTATTTAATTTATTTATACTTAAAATGTTAGAGTCAAAGATTAGCATTTTGCAGGCTAGTGATAATCAGCCCTGTAGTTTCTCTTCTCTGACAGTCCTAGAACCCTTCCTTAGAAGAAGTACAGAGCAGCAGTGACCTGGGGAATGGTAATTTAAAACTCTGTTTCCTTGTTTCTCCTTGAAGCCTCTGAGAGAAATAGCAGTCTTTTTTTTTTCTCCTTTGTTTTCTTGCAACATTGGAGAATTTGTGGCTCATATCTTTAGCTGTTTCAA